CCCCACCCTTCATTTCCCCCGGTATCCCGCCCCTCGTCTCACCCCACCGCTTTCCGCCCCGGGACCCTCGCCCCCCCTCCGCGCCCCCCATCCGGCCATCCGCGGGGCCGCAGCGCCTCCCGCTGGTCCCCGCTGTCGGGGCGCGGCCCTGGCGGAGGCGGGACTGGTATAAAGTGGGCGGCCCCCGCCGCGGACCCCTCCCTCCTGCCCGCTCGGAGCCTGCGTCTCGGCGGCCAGGACCCTGAGCTCCTCTAGACGTGTCCAGCCAGGGCGCCCGGCGCGCTCCGGGGTCAGGTAAGCGCCGCTCCGCCGGCCCGGGACCCGCCTGGAGCCGCGGCCGCGCACTGGCGGGCTGTGACCGGGCGGGGGGACCTCCCCCAGGCAGGGCAGACTGGTCTCCCCCGTGGCAGCGAGTGTCCCGCGGGCGTGGGGGCCACGCCGGCCTGGTGGCCCCATTGCAGCCACTTGCCCTCTCTCAGAGCTCCCCAGGGCGCTCCTTAGGGGAGCGTCGCGCGTTGGGACCAGGGGCCACTGAGTTAATTTTCTGGCCGCCCCCTCCTTGGCCCATTCTGGGGCAGGGCCGGGTGGGGGGGGGAGGGGGGATTCCTCCCTGTTCCTGGGCTCGATGCAGAGACTCGGCAGCTTTCGAGCTGTCTGCTGGGACAGCTGGGGAGCCTTCGCCACCGTCACCGCCACCACTGGGTCACCAAATAGCCCCGAGGGCTCAGCATCTGCAGTCGGACCCCTGGCTGGTTCCTGGGAGACTTGGTTTTATCTCTGGCCTGGAGATCACATTCAGAGGTGGAGAGGACAGGTCACACCCCCACCTTACCCCCACCCCGGAATCAGCAGGAGCCCAGCCTGTCCCCCATTCCTCTGAGGCTGGAAGTGACCCACTGGGCATCTCCCCCCCACATCCAAAATGTGCAGGGGGCTGCATGGTGGGCATCGGGGTGAAGCCAGAGCCCAGGCTGATGGAGCCTGTGATGGCTCCCGGGCTAGGCCAGACCCCACACCCTCCCGGACTCCTCACTCACTTTAGCAGAACCCTAGGGGCCCGCACGCTCAGAGCATGGCTTTGGGGTGGGAGTGGGTGGGTCACCCCCTGCGAGGTCTCTGCTGTTGTTAATAACAACACAGCAAGAAACACAGGGTGGTGCCTCAGGTGTGCCGGCATCCTGCCCAGGGCCCACATGGGGCACCATCCCCCATACCCAGCGAGAACACCGCTGCTGGAGCACCCACACCCCTGATCTACCCAACTGTCCCCAAGGAAAGGAGCTTCACTTTTAGTTTAATAGCCAAAAGAAGGAAGCGTGAGATCCACAGATTTCTGATTTTTTTCTTCCAATAAAGGAGTTTGGGCCCAGAGGTGGTCTCTTATTTGTTTAACAACAACAAAAAAGGCATTTGGGGCTGAGGAGGGACGCTGTCTGCCTTCCTTGTTGTCTGCCTTCCTGATGTCATCCAGAGGCAGGAGGGTAGGGCCGGGGAGTGGGCCTGAGCCCCCAGCCTAGATGGCCCGCAGTCTCCCAGGCCAGACTAGAGCAGGTGGTTACAAGGGGCCCAGGTGTGTCCCCTCGGCAGGACTCAGGTCTTAATGGGCCCCTGGGCCCTTCTGGCCACCGTGAAGCTGCCACCCTCTGCTAAGGAAAGTAACCTGGGAGGCCAGCAAAGCCCATGGCGGGGGGTGGGGGGGGCATTGTTGGGGGAGTCTGTTGGGAAGCCACAGGGAAGGCAACATGCAGAGTCAGGCCCATGCCACTGGGCCCCCTGGTTGGACGGAGCTCGGGTCCCTGCTATGGTCAGTGCCTGTCACACCCAGCAGTGACTTTGCATCACTGGCCGGCAGGGGAGCTGTGGGCAGCAGGGAGGCCTTTAGACGAGCTCCCTGGGCTGGGCCAGGTCAGAGAAGGGACAACCAGTGCCTGGGAGAAGGAGCTGGGGCCATGGCAGAGGGTGTGGCCCGGCCATACCCCGGCCAGCATTTTCTCATCTGCAGAATCAGGCTGGGCTTTATAGCACCCGACCTTCCTACCTGCCAGGACTGCTAAGGGTGTCCAAGGGCACAGAGTGTGGGAAGACCGTGTTTGCACACACAAAATGCTTTATGATGCTGGAAAAACTTCGTTCTTGTGATTATTTTTTAAAGATTATTTATTTATTTATTTGACAGAGAGAGAGCGTACAAGCAGGGGGAGCGGCAGAGGGAGAGGGAGAGGCAGGCTCCCCGCTGAGTAAGGAGCCCGATGCGGGGCTGGATCCCAGGGCCCTGGGATCATGACCTGAGCTGAAGGCAGGTGCTTAACAACTGAGCCACCCAGGCGCCCCCTTGTGATTATTTTAAGAAAACCACAAATAGTTTGATTCTTTCCACGTTTCAGTGGATCAGTCCTTTCTTTGGCTTCTTTCACACATTTGTGCAAAGCCGGCAGGGGGAGGGGGGCGCGGGGTGGGAACCCTGGTGTGGGGCACACCTGCAGAGAAGCAAGGGTCCTGGGATGCTGCTCACTGAACAGCGCCTGGCGGAGCCCAGCCCCCACCCTAGGGCCAGTGCAGGCTTCAGGCCATATCATAAAGCAACATTCTCCACAGACTGCACACCCTCCCCGCTGACCTAAACATGTCAGCACTCCACGCCACACCGGTGGTCAGCCTCGTGGTGGCCCACTGCAGTGGCTGAAATAAGCAAGTGGAGGGCGGGCATCCAGCTGTAAGGGGCCCCTGCTGCTAGGAGAGCAGACTCTGGGTCTAAAGCTCTGAAAAGTGTCGAGGCTTTCATGCCTGCAGTCAGATACTCACCAGAAAAGTGAAGAGGCACCCCAGTATTCTCCACAGCCCACTATACTGCAGTTTGGTTTTGTTCGTTTTTTCTTTCTTGTACGCCAGTGTCCTTAGATGAGGAATGGTGTGCTGTTGGTCTGTCTGTACATCCTCGATTTTTGTGCATTCAGCATTTTTTGATTACTGACCATTTGCCTGGTTACGATTTCCCCCATGTTCGTAATGAGTGCTCAGTTCTACTAATCTGTAAGAACTTTTTCCCCCAGTTTTCTTAAAAATTGCGGTAAAATACACATAACATAAAATTTATTATCTTAACCATTTTTTAAGTGTAGAGTTCAGTGGTATTCATATTGTTGTGCTACTGTTACCTCCATTCATCTCTGAAATTCCTTTCATCTTGAAAAACGGAAACTCTATACCCATTAAACACTAACTCCCCATTCCCTCCCTGCGAGCTTCCATTCTACTTTCTATGATTTTTTAGATAGTCTAAGCATCTCATATAATTAGAATCATACAGTATTTGTCATTTTGTCACTGAGCATCATGTCCTCAAGGTTCATCCATGTTGGAGCAGGTATCAGAATGTGCTTTCTCTTTAAGGCTGAGTCATATGCCCTGGTGTGAATGTACCACATTATGATTATCCATTCATCCATCAGTGGACACTTGGATTCTTCCCTGTTTTACCTGTTGTAAATAATCACTAATGTGAACAATGAAGATGGGTATACGAATATCTCTTTGAGATCTTGCTTTTAATTTTAGGGGGTATATAGCCAGAAGTGGAATTGCTAGATCATATTGTAATTTTATTTTTATTTTTTTGAGGAACCACCATACTGTTGTCCACAGAGTTTCTACCATGTTACATTCCCACCAACACTTCCAATTTCTCCACATCCTCCAACACTTGTTATTTTCTGGGGTTTTTTTAATATTAGCCATCCTAATGAGTGTTAGGTGATATCCTTACAGTTTCGATTTGTTTTTCTCTGATAATTAGTGATGTTGAGCATCTTTTCATGTGTCCATTGGCCATTTGTATGTCTTCTGTAGAGAAAGGTCTGTTCGAGTCCTTTGTCCATTTTTGAATCACGTTTTTGTTTTTGAGTTTTAGGAGTTCTCTGTATATTTTGGACACTAATCCCTGTTCACATCTGTGATTTGCAAAGACTTTCTCCCATTCTATAGGGTTGCCTTTTAACTCTGTGGATAGTGTCTTTTCATACACAAAATGTGTTATTTTCCATAAAGTTCAATTTGCTTATTTTTTCTTTAGTTGCTTGTGCTTTTGGTGTCATATCCAAGAAATCATTGCCAACTGCAATGTTGTGAATCTTTTGCCCTATACTTCTTCTAAAACTTTTATAGATTTAGGTCTTATACTTAGATCATGGATCCACTTTGAATTAAATTTTGTGTATGGTGTGAGGTAAGGGTCCAACTTCATTCTTTTGCTTGTGGATCCCCAGTTTTCACCACACCATTTGTTCTAAAGAACTGTCTTATCCCCCACTGAATGATCATGACTCCTTTGTTGAAAAGTACTTGAATGTATATGCAAGAGTTTATTTCTGGACTCTATTCAACTCCACTGGTGTATATGTCTGTCTTTATGCTAGTACCACTTTGTTTTCCTTACTGTTGCTCTGTAGTAAGTTTTGAAATCAGGAAGTGTGAGTCCTCAGCTTTGGTCTTCTCTTTTAGGATTGTTTTTGCTATTCAAGGTTTCTTGAGATTTCTTACAAATTTCATTTTGGCTTTTTCTATTTCTGCAAAAATCATCATTGGGCTTTTCATAGAAATTGAATTAAACCTGTAAATCACATTGGGTGGTATTGACATCCTAATATTGTCTTCCAATCCATGAACATGGACTATCTTTCCACTTGTTTGTATCTTCTTTGATGCCTCTCAAAAAGATTTTATAGTTTTCAGTGAATAAATCTTTTACCTCCTTGGTAAAGGTAATTCCTAAATGTTTTATTCTTTTGATGCTAATGTAAATGGAATTGTTTTGCATTGTTCATTGTTAGTATATAGAAATGCAATGGATTTTTGTGTATTGACTTTGTATTCTACTACTTTGCTCTGTTGGTTTATTCTAAGAGTTCCTTTTGTGGGATCTTTAGGGTTTTCTACATGTAAGATCCTATCATCTGTGAACAGGGATAATTTACTTCTTCCTTTCCACTTTGAGTGTCTTTTATGTCTTTTTCTTGCCTAATTGTTCTGGCGAGGACTTCCAGTACTATGTTGAATAGAAGGGATGAAAGTAGGCATCTTTGCTTTGTTCCTAATCTTAGAGGAAAAGCTTTCAGTCTCTCACCATTGAGAATGATATTTGCTGTGGAATTTTCATATATGACTTTTATTATATTGAGGTGGGTTCTTTCTATTCCTAGTTTTGGGGTGTTTTTATCATGAAAGGATGTTAAGTTTTATCAAAAGATTTTTTGAGATCATGTGGATTATATTACATTGATCAATTTTCATATGTTGAT